TTTTGTTATGGCACGTTTATGAAGAGCCTACTTTTCCCAGACTACTCGTGATAACGGTCAAGGATAGACGGAAATGGCTGAAGGCACTGGGAATGTTGGCATCAATGCGAGGCTGCGTCTGGTGTGTGGGTTTGCACGAAACAGGAGGCTTCTCTCTAATCGCCAATACCTTTAATCTCATCACTTAGGGGTCGGCACCAACTGTCTCTTGCCAATCGAAAGACGACTGACTTTCCGTGGCTGGTTGATTGACAACGAACTCAGGGCCGGGCTCGACAAGACCCTGGGGGTGTCTGTAAGTGACGGAGAAATGGAGTATTGGGGACTGAGTTGACTGCCCTTGGATCAGGTCTGGGTAACAAAAATCGGGGTTGCGCATGACATCTCGCTGCTTTAACCTGAAAATTGCGCAAGGCGGTTGGAGATTAGCGAAGGAATTTATTGACTTACCGGATCACCAGGTACCTGTCAGAAGGCCCTGTTATGCTGTCCTCGCCTGTCAATAGTTGTGCATTCATTCGGTGGGACCCCCAGAAGAGTATGAGGGAGATGGGTTCAAGCATAACCACTATTTCGATATTAGCTGGGCTCTGTGAAGAGGCGCAACAGCAAGGGGTGATGTCTTGCTTGGCATTAGATGAGAGCTAAAATAAGACATGCGCTACCAATCGAGAGTTTATTTTGACAGCTGTTTTGTTTTTTTGGCAGTTTGAAGTAATACTTTATTAATAGAGAGGAGGTTTCCAAGCTATCAGTAGATCCTGAATAAGAACCCTAGATAGCAAAGTGCGATGGTGGACTTGAGGTTTAATTTTTCCCACAATTAGGCATCACCATAGTATTGAATTTCACTTAGCCTTGCCTCCCAAATGTGATCGCAACCAACGTGGACTGCGATTCCTGCCTCGCCTGGGTCTCGTAATCACGCTCAACGGGAGTGTAACTCGGGTAGTGCAACAAATAATTTGTAGATACGAAGAGAAGCGTGGTTTCGATGAATCTCCTGAGATAACATTGTTAGGTGGACCTTCATTTCGAATGAGAGTGCATGAAGAAGACATTCGTCGGTCGATCTGAACGGATGAGGACAGATGAAACTCGTACTGCAGCCGTTTGGCTTTTAGACGATATTCATGTTGACGCAGTCCACCCGAAAGGAGGGAGGAAATCTTATGGACTGCGTCAACATGAATATCGTCTAAAAGCCAAACGGCTGCAGTACAACGAGATTCATCAGTCCTCATCTGGTCAGATCGACCGACGAATCTCTTCTTCATGCACTTTGATTCGAAGCAAAGGTCCCCCTAACAACAAATAATTTGGCCATGTTACCGCCATGCCACAATGTCATGAGTGCTGGTGGATTGCAGGGTGACTGGACTTACGAGTCGAGCCAGGCCTCATCCATATCACATTTCATGGTGGGATTGTCGATAAAGCAATCTTTCATTTATTATTACAATCGACTGCATTAATTACACTCATTTTAAGTAGGTTTCGATAATAATAATGATAATAATAATACAGCTTCTGTGAGATAGAAGACACCTGGCTTTCATTGAACTAAGTAGCCGGAATCCGTCGTCCTCGGATGGGATAAGCCTACCTATATTTTTATTGTCCCTGCTCCAAATGAAGGTTGCCACAATAATAAATGCGTGCTGTTGGCGCTTCTAGTCGAACTTAGGCGTGTAAATTCGCCCACTTCAAAACGAATTTCTTCTAGTTTCGGCTAAATTAACGAATAAATTGGCAACTGCTCTCTATACAAGTCGCCTTTGTGGAAGTGAATCAAGTCTCGTTTCTCTGTTGGTGAATGATGTACGATCCTGGCTGAATAAAAAGTGCAGCTTTGCAAAGCACGCTGGGTGCTTTCTTTTGCACAAGTGCCTTTAATTTCTATGTCGTGGGGATTGATTGCGATTCCGCCTAAGGTGAATGAAAGAGACGTCTTGATTTTTCTTTTATATCAACTACACTTTGCACATCAAAAGACCGCTAGCATTCAATCCCGACCTGACTTAAGTCTGATCTGCATCCTGATTTAGGGTGTGATCAGAGATCGCCTAGGCTAACTTATCTAAAGGATATTTTTTCGGAATCCACTCCTCATGCGCTAGGAGTGGCGCAAGACGATTCATTCTGCACTAGCAAATCTTACTTGTCCCTTCTATTTTCTGCTTTCTGGTATGGTCTTCATGCTCAGCTAAGCGTTTCGCCTTCGATCAGTCCATATGGTATCCCGGGTGAGCAAAGTGTGTTCGATCGGTTCTTAATTTTGGACCCGCAAACATATGCAGGCTATTCTATATTAAGATAACCTCCTATGAATGGGTTGACAGGTCCACCCCAAAAATAAGCTACTACAAAAACACAGCCTTATATTATTAGGGATACTTTCGTTGCGAATGAAACTGCATGAAGAAGAGATTCGTTGGTCGATCTCACCAGATGAGGACGGATGAAGCTCATTGTAATGCAGCCGTTTATCTTTTAGACGCAGTCCACGAGACTTCCTCCATCCTTTCGGGTGAAAAAGTGCTTAGCTTTCGCCCATCATACGATGAACATCATCAAAACTGGGTATCATTCTTGTAAAAGTCTCACGTTAACACTAAAGCAAGAACACTATCCGGCTCTATCTCACTTCTTATATAGACTCAATCGAGCCTAAAAATTAAAAATTAAAAACCTACCTAGATCGATATATAGTGGTTTGGTTAATTTTCTTTCATACTAGTTCTGTTATTTTTGCTTTATTGTATGAGTATGTATATTTGTGTGTGTTAGCGTCTATATTCAATACGGTTCCTAAATCAGACTTGCCAAAAGGTTAAATCTTAGGTTCTGATCCTCAAAACCTAATAACCCAAGAGAAAATCTTTGAAAGAGAAGGTCTAGGTGCGTATATAAGTATGGTTGAAATAATGAAATATGAGGTTGTAAACATGATAATCAAGTTGCGAAACTACTATTGCTAACCTTTCAGTCAAGGGTCATTAACGTTTAACCCTCCGAGGAAAGGCAGGTCTGGGGTTACGTAATCTGACATGTCTGGTTTGTTTAAGGAGCGTACTCTAACATTTTGGGCGAATGTGAGTGAAATTAGAACCATCACATTCACCCAAAATGTTAGAGTAAGCTCTTCAAACAAACCAGACATGTCAGATTACGCAACGCCAGTCTTGCCTTTCCTTGGATGGTTAAACGCTAATGACCCTTGACTGAAAAGTTAGGAAAAGTGGTTTCGTAACTTGATTATCATGCTTAC